TTGGTGCGGCTGGCAGAGGCTGCGGCAGCCAGGCTGGGCCAGCAGCTGGCACGGTCAGGGGTCCCTGTCTCCGTGGTCAGCGTGGCGAGGGACTGTGCCCCACGGGACCTAGGCATTTTGAAAGCCCCACACTTCCAAGAGCTGCACCTTGAAGTTCTCCTGGCAGAGTGGAGGGTTGTCAAAGGTCTCGCAGTGCTCCGTGTGACCCCAGAGCAGGTTGGCGTCGAGGGACAGAGCTTGGCCACCCCCTCCACCTGCAAAAGCAAGCAAGATGGTTGGAATCTGCTCTTCCCCAGTCGCTGCTCAGGCAGGGACACTGACCCAGCCTAGGCCGCCTCTCAGGACTCTGCCAGTCTATGGGCTTTTCTGTCCTTTGGCCACAGTGCAGAGGTTCCCTGAGCTGCCTTCTCTGCTCACCGTGCTGTCAGGCTGGAGGCAGAGCTCCCGGAGAGCTGCCTGCAGGGCAGCTGGCACACGGCAGCCAGCACCAGAGCTTGCCCTGGCTGCACAACCTGAATTATTAAACTGCTTGGAGAGCTGGAGAACAAGGAAATTGGGCTTGCCCCGATCCTGCGGGCTGGAAGGGGGGCAGAGGAGGCGGTCAGGGCTGCAGGCCTTCCTGACCTGTGCACTCCTCTGTCAAATGTGTCCTGGCAGTGTGGGCTGTCAGCTGGCATGTCTGCTCTGGGTGGCTGTGCCCGGACCTTCCTCAGGCTGATTCCCACCTGCATCCCCTCTCCATCCTGCACAAAGCAGAGGGAAGGGCTGAGAAATGACATGCCAGCCCCAAGACTGCAAGGCCTGCCAGGAGATTTAGGCCATGGTGCTCTCCCTTAGCTGGCAGAGCCACTCTTGGGCTCTCAGAAGGAACATCCTTGCCCTTGGGCAGCTTTGCACTTTCCTGCTAATCTGAGGAAAAGGGGGATGACTTCATCTACCCTGAATTTAAGTTATATCCTAAACCAGGAGGTCTTTGCGTCTACCAGCAGCTCAGGTTTTAACCTAGACACGAACCCCTTGCAGCCAAAGCAGTGTCGGTGGGTGCCCAGCGCTCAGTAATTACCAATAATGATCCCTTCCCGTGACCCGGACATGAACATAGAGGCTGTTTTGGAAGGCAGAAGGAAGTGTCTGATGGCCAGGAACGGGGAGAGCCGGCCTTTCCTCTGCGGCGTGGGCACGGTGAGACGGTTTGAGGTGGTGCCGTGGCACGCGGGGGAGAAGCCAAGGAGAGATTCGGGGGAGGGGGAAGGCGAGCGCTGGCGTGAGCGTGGCACGGCTTTGGCCAGCTCTGGCTTCTTGATGAACACCCACTCGTACCTCTCTGTCTCAGGGCGCACCTGAAAGCAGGAGAAATGTGGTGAGCCCCATCCTTTTGGGCATCTCTGCTTTGCTGGGGGAGGCTGGCCAGGCGGGCTGGAGACCAAGTCCTGTGTGCCAGGTCCAGACTGGGGCAGGGAAGGGACAAGGCATCCTAGCAGTGCCAGGGCTGCTCTGGAGGTGTCTGTGGCTGAGACACTGCCTGAGTCAGGCAAACCTGCACCATCCACCTTGCTGGGTGGATGCTGGATGGACACTGGTGAGATACCAGATGGATGCTAGACTTTCACCCCAGGATCTCTTGGGCCAACTTAGTTTCCTCCCTCTGCAGGGTCCCCAGGGCTAGTTTGGGAATGCTCCAGCCAGGAGCTGCCCTGAGCAAACAGGGCAGAAACCCACCCTGCTGTGCATGCTGCCCTGCTGTCACCTGGGAGGGTGCTCCCAGACCCACCTGGGGTTACTGCACCTTGCCTCGGGGGCTCAGGGCAAGCCAGCCCATCTAGGCAGCCAGGTTCTCCATTTACTCTGATCCAGCACAGCAGTTTTTGCATTGCTGTGTCCTGCCAGAGCTAAGGGGCAGTGGTAGGACCATGGCAAGGAAGCAAGCTCTGTGCCACCGTGCCCTGAGTTGTCAGAGGAGTAAAGGAAAAAGCAATTAACAAACAAATCCATAAGCATAAATCCAGAACTCAAATGTGACTTACAGTGAACACAAAGCACTCTCCTGTCCCAAAAAAGCCTGATGTTGCCCCGTTCTTTTTCCTTTCACGCCAGTCGGAGGAGAGAAATGCTCCACACACCTTTGGGAGAGAGCACAGAAGGAATCAGTGAAACGTTGGGATCAGAGCAAACCCCAGAAATACTGGCCATTGCATGTGTGTTCAGGAGGGCAGGGGCTCTGTGAGGTCCCATGGGGAAACTGGGGAGCCAAATCCTGCTGTGCCAGCTAAATGCTGCACTGATGAGTCACTGATGCTCTGGATGTGAGTCCATTCAGCTTCAATGCCTTGGGGGCAGATTTTGGGGTTGCTGTTTTGCAGCAGAGGTGCTGGAAGTGAGCTGGGTGCTGGTTGGTTGAGCAGGGCCAGTTTGGCTGCACTGGTGCATTCCCTGACTCAGGTTTGGGAGCTGAGCCTTACACCCCCAAGCCCAATCCAGCTCCCAGTGATGGAAAGGGATAACTGTGTGGCTCAAAGCATGATATGAACAGCATTGCAACACATGGTGGCTGGGTGTCTAGGAGTCCCTTGTCCTCAGCTGGCCCCTGGATGGTGGTGAGCTGGTTGCCTGTTTTATTAGTTTTTAGAGAAAATGTATTTTAAAATGGCAAATAGTTAGGTAACACTTGTTTTTTACCTAGAAGGCTTTAAACCAGCTCCAGGAGTTCTTCCACCCGTGGTCAGGCTGACCCTGGTGTGGATGTCATTGACCATGGCTGGAGGGGACATACCGAGAGGTGGGAATTCATGCCAGTCCTTGGTAGTAGTTAGGGAATGAAATGTGCAAAAATGTATAGGAAACAAGGTTTTATAAGACACCTTCTCCTGCCTTCACAATGCCCTAGGGGGTGGGAGGGTGTTTATTTCTGCACCACACTGTGTGCCAGGCTGGGAAGTCAGGACTGGTAGATCAATACATCTTTGGGATGCCCGAACAATTTACAGAACTTGCCTCTGCTGTTTGATAAAGAGTGGAGAGATAAAATACGGGTTTATGAGCTACTCTCAGAGTCCCTGGGAAGAAGCCTGGCTTAGGAGTTTTTGCACTTAAGTCATGACTTTCAAATATTGTAGGAGTTGCCCTTATTCTCCATTTCCCTTGTGTGGCAGCTCTTGCCATCAGAGAGAGATCCTTGCATTGAATGTGTTGAAAGCAAGTCCTGACTCAGGCAAAGCATCTGCTGGCTTCAGGAAAGTCTGCTTAGCAAGGTCTTCATGACCATGGCATCTTTCCATCTTGGTGACCTCTCCTTTGTTTCCCCCCAGCAGCACCTTTTACACCAGCCTGTGTCTAAGGTGGCCCTTGGTGCTGGGGGTGCAGTTTGTTCTTTCCTGGGAGCTGGGACAGACCCAGAAGCAGACCATACAGCCCCATGGCTGCTCCAAGAAGTGCTGGTGGGGGCAACCACCCTGTCCCCCCTCCCCACTTTGGCACCAGCACAGCCCACTTCTCAGCTTGGGAGATACTCACCTCCCCCTCTGTTGTCTTTATGAGCAGCACTGTTGGTTCATAGCCTTCACAGCACGTGTAGAACCTGCAGGGATGAACAAGGAGGCTGGGTCGGTGGGGATCTGAGAGCCAGGAGCAGTGTGCCACACCAAGAGCGTGTGGTGAGCACGAAGCTGTGAAGGACAGTGGAGAGCTGTGGTGGCTCTTCTGAGGCTATTGCTGTGCTGGCAGCTGGCCCAAGTGAGCTTGTGGGAAGACAGTAGCAGAAACTCATAATCATGTAGCTCAAGCAGCCTCGGTGTTTGTGCAGGAATGGGGAGACTAGTCTGCCAGGACTTCTCCTGTCATCATATTTGCTTGGTGAAGCAGGTAATAGTTCAGATAAATCCAAATACTAAACCCTCCCACCCTACTCTCAGGCACCAGGCTGGGCAGGATGCTTCAAGGAGGGATTTTACCAGAAGAGCTTTTTAATCTGGATACGTTTCCCAGTCTGTCCTCTGATGGCATGATGGCAGCATGCCAGGCACACTGTGGCATGTGGGAACATCACAGAATCACTGAATCACAGAATAGTCATGGTAGTCTATAGAGTGCAATGAGGTCTCCCCTCAGCCTCCTCTTCTCCAGACTAAACAATCCCAGTCCCCTTAGTCACTCCTCGTATGACTTGTTCTCCAGACCCTTCCCCAGTTTGGTAGCTCCTCTGGACACACTCCAGCCCCTCAGTGTCTTTGCAGTGAGAGGCCCAGAACTGAATATGGTACTCGAGGTGCAGCCTCCCCCTGCACAGCACATCCACAGGGCTTGATGTTCCCAGTGCAGTGCCACATTGCTGATTGCCATCTGACTTAGCCTCAGCCCCCTCCCCTACAGCCACTGCTGGCCCAGACCACACTCAAGATCTTGAACTGAGCGCAAGAGAGTCCCCAGGAGACCTCAGATGTACCTCATGGACACTATGTATTACTCCTTTCTACATCACCAACCAGTTTTATTTCTGGCCCACTGATCCAGCCTGACCCAACAGGCAGATGACACTTTACCTCTGCAGGCTGCACCCATCTTCTGAGGTGGAGAAGAGCAGCAGTGGAGGGAAGAGGGAGAAGCGCTCAGGGATCCAGGACCAGACAATGCGCATCTCTTGAGCTGTCACGATGCTGGAGCTGAAGCTCTGCATGTCCACAGACAGGTGGAAGGACTGCCTGCACGAAGAATGATGCCCATTACTGCCAAGCTGGGGTGCCTGCCTGCTTTTAGGGGTGCAGCCCCCACACATCAGGTTTTGTCATGCTTTTTGCATTGTAAGCTCTAACATCTGTTAACATCACCAGCTCTAACTGTACAGGGCCTCCTAACAGGGTCCCCCCCGGGAGCTGTGAGGCCCCCAGCATAGCCATAGCTAACTGGAGATACCTGTAGCTCCCCCTGTGTTTTATCTCCGCTGTGACTCATATTTTGTCTGTTCAGCCCCAAGAGCTGGCAAACAGAGAGGTCTCCTTACCTGCTCTGCACCATGGTTATGCCCCTCTCCATTAACGCCTTCCTGTTGGCCATCTGGAGGAGCCAGATTTCCTTGCGGGAGAACAGCCGGATGCCAAACGCTCTCTCGAGGAGTTTGTCCACAGTCACGTGCTCAGCAATGTTCTGCACGAAAGCCTGCAGGTCTGCCTTGATGTCAGTCCCCTCCAGCTCTGTGGAGGTCATCGAGAGCCTGTACTGCTTCAGCAAGGCCAGAGCGATGCGGTAGAGAACCTTCTGCCCCTCCAGCAGGTAGACATCAAAGACACGGATGGCGTAACTGAAGGGGAGGTCATGAAAGAGCCAGGATAACCATTCAGAGTAGACCTCAAAGATGTTCTCAGAGGTGCTGGCTATGAGTTTGTGAGCTGCTGGGCAGTGCTTGTTGGCCAGATCCCCAAAAGTCATGCAGGATGCCTGGTGGGCTAGGAAGGACTGGTCAATGTAGCTGGTGTGGGGAGTGTTGCTGGCAATGAGGCGAGAGATGTTCTCGAAGCACTGAGCTTCATCTTCACTGTAGTGCAGCAGCAAAGCCACCAGAGAGGGGAGGATGGGGCTGTAGGTTATGTCAGGGAAAAGGCTGCCAATGCAGATGAGGATTTTCTTCAAGGCGGTGACCCCTTCCAAGTTGAGGCAGTATGTGGGCATGGTGCATCCTTCCAGGAACTCAGGCAAAGGGTGGGAGCTCACACTGAGCTTCCCAAAGAGCCGACTTGCCACGTCCCTGTAGACGAGAGCATCAGGGGTGACGAGCCGGCAGGAGACCTGCTGGATGAGCTGGTGGTAGACCTGAGCTCTCAGAGCACGGCTTCCTGCCCAGTAGCCTTCTCTTGCCAGCTTCTTCAGCTCCTTCAGGGGCTTGCTGAGGATGTCCTGGGGAATATTTGCCTGTTGCTCTGGGTCTGGCATCCTGTCCCAATCCACAAACTGTCCACAGCCCAGACAAGATGAGGCATCGATGTCCCAGGTATCAGCTTCAGAGGTGATGGTGATGGTGACTGGAGATGAGCCAAACATCTCTGTGGGACAAAGACCTTGTATTGAACACGTTTCACTGCCTCAGCTGACAGCATTTCACCCTGCCTGCCAGCGCTTTGAAGTCTTATAGCCATGTCTTATATTTCCATAGTTATTCCCACCCTGCAAAGGGAAGGTTTTCAGAACACCTTGGCTGGCTGGAGCTGCTGGCTTGGCCCTCTCCTGCTCACGTTGGCTCACACCCTGCTGAAATCACTCTTTAAGTGTGAGTTCAGGCACCAGCTGGGGGTCAGGGCTGCTTCTCCACACTGTGAGGGCCTTTCCACCCCTCCAAAGCTCCTGACTTCCCAGGCTGTGAGGTGCTGTGAGGGAGGTGCAGAGAGCAGGGACACAGGTCCTATCCCCCAGGGATGGCTGTAGGACAGCAACATTACACCTCCATGGATAACAAGCAGCTCGGTTGCAGCCCAGCTCTGCAGGGGAAGTGGGGACCCTTGGGGGCCCTCCAAGGACAGAGGGGCAGGAGGCAATGTCCTGTCCAGGTCTGGCAGCCCAGGACCAGGCTGCTATGAGCCTAGGTGGAACAGACAAATGTGGCCTTGGGTGGTTGCCCTCCATCTTACACTGCCTGCAAAAATCTCCTGCAAAAGTCTCCTGACCCCCCCAGCTGCTCCAGTGCCAGAGAGAAGGTGCAGGGAGAAGGTGCTGCAGTGAGAGGGGCTTGCCAGGGGTCTGGGGGTGGTCTGTGGGGTCCCAAGGGGTGCCTGTGTCTCTCATGCACCCATGAAGAGACCCCATCCAGGGGGTACACGCAGGGGCTGGCCAGCATCTGGGAAGCTCCTGGGAGACAGCAGGTCCCCGGGGACTTTTGGTGGGGCTCCTGCACCCAGGGCTGTGGCGAGCCATCAGCCCTACTGTGGGAAGGGCAGAGTTTGAGCTCCTCCTAGAGAGAAGAGAGCGGCATGTTCCCTGAGACAGGTCGGCTCGAAGGCCTCTGCCAGGAGTCGGGAGTTGTCTCTGCCTGGCTGAGCTCTGCTGGGCAGGGATTAATCAGCAAGGATAAAGCTGGCAAGGTTATTGGTGCACATCCAATATCTTGGATGTGCTCAGTTGGCTTGGAGAGTCTCAGATTGATTTGCAACAAGCCAAACTTCACTGCTCTGGCCCCAAGGGGACATGGAGGGGGACAGAATGGTCCTGGCCCTATGTGCTGTGTGCGGCACATCAAGGGGGTCCAGGCTGCGTCTCCTGCTCTGCCTCCTGCTCTCCAGTTCCATTTGGACCCAGTCAAGTTTGGTAAAACCAGCAGATCAGGTTCACTTCTGGTTCAGGAGAAGGGCAGCAGCTTTAAGCAGTTGCTCAGCCTGGCTCCCTGCTTTGGGGACAGACCCTGGGTATGGCCACAGAAACCAGGCTAAATGAACATTGGAGCTGAAGTGGGGCTGTTGGCGCTGCTGTGGTCCCCAAATTCACCGTGTCCTCGCAGCTGGCTGCATCACCCCGAGCCCACCCAGCCACCGTGCCCTGGCCCAGGGTGCTGGCTGCTCCAGCTCTGCCTGCCCTGGGACATCCCAGGCAGCTCACTCACCTTGCCCAGCACCCACGTCATCGCCTTTGGTCACGGGGAAGGCGCCGGCTGCCCCCCCGGGGGAGCGGGGCAGGCTGAGCCCCACCTGCAGCATGTGTGCAGGCTCTGGTGTACCCCACTGGTGGGTCCCCTCTGTCCCTGTCATCTGCCCTGACTTTTAAGGCAAGTTTTCAGCCTTCCAACACAGGAGGTTTATTTGGTGTAAATAGGGCAAAGGGGTGGAGCAGCTCCTGCACCCAGGTTACCCTTTCCTGCCCCAATTCTGTGCTGAGGGCAGGGAGGGGGACGTAAACACCCTGTGGGATGAGATAGCCATCAAACCAACAACACAGCCATTAAACTTAATAATTTATTTTTCCCAAAGATAACCTTCATTTTCCCACTGTGGGGTTCACTCCCTTTGCCAGCGTCACAGGGCAGGGAGGGCTGGGGCTGCCTGTCCTTGAACGCAGGAAACATCAACACAGCCAGTGGGTTTGGAACTGCTTCCCACTGGATGGTCCCGGAGGAGTCAGGAAGAGAAGCACATGAGCAGCAAGTGCCAGGAACCAGGTGACAAGGGGGAGATTAGGACCAAGTGACACCCTTCTGCCACTGCCCTGTGCACCCTTAGGGATGCTCTTTGTGGACAGGTGCTCCTGGGCTGTGCTGGCCGTGTCAGTGGCACCGTGTCAGCTTCAGCTGGCACAAATCATAGAGTCATGGAATGTGTGGAGTTGGAAGGGACCTTTCAAGGTTCTCTAGTCCAGGCCCCCCTGCAGTGCACTGGGACCTCTTTAACCAGATCAGGTTGCTCAGAGCCCCATCAAGCCTGACCTTGAATGTCTCCAGGGTTGGGGCCCCCACCACCTTTCTGGGCAACCTGTTCCAGAGCTTCACCACCCTCATAGAAACTTCTTTGAAATGTCTACACTAAATCTACCCTGCTCTAGTTTAAGGCCATTGCTCCTCGTTCTGTTGCTAAAAGCCCTTGTGAACAGTCCCTTCCCAGATTTCCTGTAGTCCCTTCAGGCACTGGAAGCCTGCTATGAAGCCTCCCCAGAGCTTCTCTTCTTCAGGCTGAAAAAAAACAGCCACCTGGGGAAATTCAGGGCAAGGCAGAGGTGTACCCTGCAGCACCCTGCAGCACTCTATGCCTCCTGTGCACACAGCTGCTCTGCAGGACTATGAAGTGGGATAATAGCAGGCACAGTTCTGGTGCTCCAGCATTTCCCACCTGTCCCCCTTTGAATTGCTTGTTATCGATTGACTTTTACAAGTCAACCTCCAACAGCTGAGAGGTGCTCCCAGCAACATTGCGCCTATTTGGCATTCCAACCTGGAGAACTCACACTTCAGGCTGCACTTAAAAGTGCAGAATTATTTTTTTTGGCATTTTAATTTTTTTTTAGTTTTGTTTTCTTTTTCTTAAAAAATCGGATTGTTTTTCTCTCTTGTGATAACAGCTATGGTGGGTCGTTCCTGCCTTGTCTTCCTGCCTGCAGGTTCTGCAGGCATCTGCAGTGCATCCCTGAGCATCTGCTGGCACCAGTGGTCTCGGGGCATCTGCTCCTGAGCAGGAGCAGTCCCTCTGCAAACCTTCTCCTTTCTGGATTAAACACTTTTTCCATGCTGTGCCAAGATCAGATGGCAGTGGTATGGCTGTCCTGCCAGCCCCCTCCCCTCAGCAAGCTGGGAGCCTGAGGAAGTGTGGGCGAGGGGCTGTGTGAGCAAAGGACCCTCGGGGTGCTGTGCTGGGTAGGAGGGAGCCAGGGGCTGTTTCCCAGCAGGAGCTCCTAGTCTGCACCCAGAGCCTGTTGGTGCACTTGATGGGCAGCTCTGCTCCCTGTGCCACATCCAAGGGGCAGGTGACAGTCCCCAGTTCTGCTCCTGGGGCTCCTGTGTGTCCCCACGCTGCACCCTGCTCTGGTTCCCGGTGCTGACAGGTCCTGTATTCTCTCCCTTTTTCCCAGGCTCTTACAGCAGCAACTGCTGCTGCCTTTCCCCAGGACCTTGTTGGCCACCTTCTCCTTATTTGCTTTTCCTACAACAAGTGCCTCCCCTTGCCAGCCTGAAGCGGCCCTGCCCCTCCTGCAGCCCCAGCTTGCCTGCTCCCTGGCCCGCACGCCGCTCCGAGACAGGAGATGGAAGTGAATTTGGGACAGCACAAAATGGATCATGGCTTCATGTGTTTTTAATGGGGGAAAAATTAAATAATGTAGAGGCTGTGCTGGCTCCAGAGGCGCAGCAGGGCTGAAGGCCATCAAAGTTTCATGCTGCCCGCCAGCCAGAGGAGCCGGCCCCACGTGGGCGTGCGTGTGGGGCTGGTGAGATGAGCTTCACCCCTGGGGCTGCCAGGGCTGGCCCACTACCTGCCCCACGCTGCTCTGCCCCGCGCTCAGGACACCTCTGGCACCTGTGGCTCCACTGTCCCCAGTGTCTGTCATTGGTGGCAGCTCCACTGCCCCGTTCTCTTGCTCCTCGCTTGAAAACCACCCCAGCCCTGGGCAAGGGGCTCGGCCAGCCTGGCCCCCCGGCAGCACAGCCAGTGCTGCAGCTGCTCGGAAACCCCCAGGGTAGGATCCACTGGCCATCAGGCCCAGCACAGCAGCGCAGCAGTGCCCACGTTGTGAGGGAAATAAAACAACACTCTTGGGGCCTTCCCACGGCTGCTCAGGCCCCTGTGCTGACGTTTATATCCACATCGGTTTCTGTCACAAATTGCACCCCCAAAGAAAGGGAAGGGACTAAAACCCTGGGCGTGGGAAAAGCTCTTCGGGCTGGGAAGGAGCAAAGGAAAGTGCCCGTGCACACTGGCCTGTTACTGCAGAGCCTTCTGCAGCCTCCACAGCCAAAATATTGACAGTGTCAACACTGCTGCCCGCAGGGAGACAGTGCAGGGGGACAGGTAGAAGGGGACAAACACAAGGGGACAGGCATGAGGGGGAAGAGGCTGCAGGGAGCCCGTGCAGCTGGAGCAGCCCAGCCCTGGGGAGGTGTCAGGGGGTGTTTTATAGTGACCCTTGAACTGAAGCTGCAGGAAGGAAGGAGAGAGGAAGCAGGTGATGCCTGTAGCACATTCTTGGTTGGATTTCATAAAAATATGTTAAGATAGAATTAAGCTCAGCAGAAAATTACTGGCATGATGAATTTATATAATTCACTGATTTAGCTGAATAGGTTATTTTATTGGATATTTAGTAGAAAGATACTGAAATGAAATATATTTTGTGACAAAATGTACTTTGTGAAATCCACGTTCTTGGATAAAGAAGTTACAAAACCAGCAGCACAGGAGCATCCTGTAGCTACAGAGAATAAACCTCCTCAGTCCAGCTGGGCTACTCCAGAAGACTTTCTTCCTGACACTTTAAACACGAGGCAACGTTCCATCCGTGTGTGGTCACGTTGATTGGCGTTGACCTGAGGAGTCTCCAGGCCTTTTGAATGCAAACAGAGAACAAGCCCAAGAACTGGGGTCTCGGAGCTGGGAACAGTGACCGGCTGCTCCTGCCGCGCAACGAGATGCGGATTTTCGTACAAGAGATTAACCCCAGGACCCCTCAGCACGAGTCCCCCAGACATGGATAAGGGAAAGGCAAATGTTACCACGAGTTCCAGGAAATCTAACGCACACAGATCTAGCGGGGCAGTGCCCGGTGCC